GTAGCGGATTGCGATCCGCTACACTCGTACTGGTTCTTGGAAAGAACGTAAGGTCGGTCACCTTAGCTTAGCTTAACTTTCTCTGAGCAAAGAGCTACGGCAGCCCCGCTGCATTTGGTAGCACTTGTAGTCAATCAACATCTGAGTCGTTTTGACTGATCCTCTGTGTTGATAGAGCAGTTATCTTCTTTGCCCCAGGGCATGCAGGACAGGCTTAAAAAGCTGATGTCTCTGCTTGGCCCTGGGGGCGTGTAGCACCTTCCTTTGCATGGACCCAAAGCGATAAGCGCGCCTAGAGGCGTTTTCAAGTTATGAGAATGCTCTGCTAGAGCACCAAAAAAAAGAATATGTCGGCGACAGATGACTCCTCCCGACCCGCACATGGTGAGCGTTAAACCTTCGAGGGAACGGATGGAGAGAATTTACTGCTCTGGGTGAGAGAGACCGAGATGGCTATGACATTAACCATGATCCAGAACGAGCAGCAGCGCGTGGCGCTAGCTATCTCCAATCTCAGTGGTCAAGCACGAGAATGGGCACTGACGCGCGGCACTTCGATTGAAGTGGCGTTTCCCTCCTGGACGGAGCTGAAGCTGCACCTCTTACTAGTGTTCTCGCCGCCTAACCAGGAATATAGTGCGCGATCGCGTTTCCTTGCCGCCCGACAGGGCAAGAAGAAGCTGGCGGACTTTGTTCACGAGTTGCGAATTCTCATTGCCGGGATGGAAGCCGATCTTCTCCCCGAGGCAGTCACGGTGACCGCTTTTATGGAGGGCCTCCGCACTGGCGTGGCCAGAATGGAAGTCTTCCGTGCACACCCGTCTACTTTTAAAGAAGCAAAGAATGTGCCATTGAATGCCGACTTCAACCTTGAGTCGGCACGAATTGGTCGGAATACACACCCTCAGATCTCGTCGAGCGGGCTTGAGACAATGAATCTTAGCTATGCTGGGAAAGAAGGGGGAGAGCTCCGAGCTACCTGACAGCGCTCAGACACCCGTCGGTTTTTCTTCAGTGAAGTCACCCGTCACATTCGGACAGGATATTCCCTGATCAAGGCGCGTCAAGGTTCATCGAACCGACGTCCCGTTTCTCATCAGTCTGGTATGTCGCGGGGAAATGGCAACACCCAGTAAACGCGGAACGCCCTATTGGGGAAGAACTGAGTTCTGTTGAACCTTCAAGAGGTAAAGGGCAGCAGTTCCCAGCCTCAAAGAGCTTCGTGCTCTTGGAGACGGATCGTTTATGCAAGCCGGGCTTGCCTGTCGTGAGCGGAACCGACTTCGAGAAGCTAATGGAAGATCCTTATTCACTAATTATGCTCGACGATCCACGATAGAAGGAAGTCTGCTGTATGCTGAGGCGCTAAAAGCGCGATTGAGTTACACCGTGACTGTTCGCTTAGCGACGGGGATTGTGTCACGGTGCTGAGGGTCCTTGTGGACCTCGGTGTCAAGTTTCTTGACTTTCATAGCGTGGAACACTGCCTAGTCTCAAGCTTGGATGCAAGTTATGACCTTGTACATGGTATGGCATGGTTGGAACACCATTAGCCACGGATTGATTGGAGGTCGAAGACCGAAGGCGCTACGCGCACGTCTCCTGGTGGAGCTTTTGGTGAGTCTTGAACCTACCTCTGCTAGGAAGCAGAAGCACTATTGGCGCGCGAACAGGACCGGGTCGGTCAATGTGCTGGATATCGGAGTATCCGAGTTGTCGAACACCAATGTTGTATTGGACAAGTGACCCGAGCGTGGCTCGAGGGCTGAAAGTGGAGAGGCACGTAACCCACTGAGAGCTGCTTAAGTATTGGAGCAGTCGCTGCATGCCATGCGTGGTATGGTCGGCTAAGGGTCGAGGCATTGAGGGTGAGGCCACAGTGATGCACGTAGAGTGGCACGTAATCCACTGAGCACTGCTCACGTTTCAAAGCAGTTACTGCATGCCAAGGGTGGCATGGTCGAACGAGGTCCGAGGCATCTTAGGCAAAGCCCTTCTGATGCGCGTGGAGTGGCACGTTATCCGCTGGACGAAGACTGCGGAACTAGCAGCTCTTCGTTGGATGTTGTTAATAGCATCAAGGCTCCGATGGAGCAGGAGTGGAGACACTGGACGTTGCCGAGTTCGTGCTTTCAATGGTCTCGATGAGACGCAAAACCTCAATAGAAAGGAGACGTCGAAGCCGTATAGTATCTGCAAGACGCAGAACGTCGACCCTGGCCCAGGGTGTGTCTACCGTAGCCAATAGCGCACAGCTATATACCCTCGTCAACGGTATGACGAGAGAGAAGGATGACGGCGTCCCTTTCGAGGCTATTCCCGCGGTGAATGCTCTTCTTGAGCTGGACGAGCTGTCCTTCGAAGAGATTGGCGGTGCCTTGAAAGCAAGCAATTTAGCCGGGGTGGTAATTATAAGACCAAACAAGGAGATTCAGTCGTCGTCGCTTCTAGATGACTGTCCTGGAGGAAAATTAAAGGCGCTGAACGCACAAAGCAGATCGTCAATCCTACAGAATCCCTCGAATCCGTAGTGTGACGTCACTGACGTCTTTTTATGCGCGAAGCACGACACAGGAATGGTGTGTGAGAGCAAGTCTTCCCATTCGACACCTACGTTTTGTGTTCGGAAGCCTAATGGCAAGTGGCGTATCGCTCCCGCTTACAATAAGCTCAACGCTGCTACCATTCCGGTACAGACGCCGATTCCTAGAAAGGATGTTCTCCAGTATAACATGGTTGGCTATTCAGCGTACAGTGACTTAGTCGAAAGCTATTTCCAATTCCTCATGAGAGCAAGTGATATTTCGCTGATAGCGGTGAGTACTCCAAGCGAGATGCTCCGGAAGTGGCTGGTGATCCCTCGAGGGCTATCAAATCACCAGAATCATTAAATCATCTTGTGACACAGTTGCTCAGGCCCCACCGGACGTATGCGCAGACATATTTCGACGACATCTCCGTCCACCGTCTTGCGGGCCACGGAAGGATGGATGTAGAGAGCCACATCGTCTATATGAGAGCTTTACTTGAGTGTATTCGCACAAATGAAGTTGTAAACTAATGCAAACAAGTGCATCTTCGGCGCTGAATAAATCCAATTTTTAGGGAGCTTCATTGAGAAGCGTGGTCTTCGAGCGGATCCCGCCAAGGTCAAGGCCAATGTGGACTGGCCGGTCTAAAGAACCAAGAAAACTTTATCATGTGGCTTAGCCTCGCCGGCTACTTCCACAAGCACAGCAAGAATATGCGGAAATGGCACAGCCACTGTCGAATCTCCTTAAGAAGGATACATAATGGTGTTGGGACACCAAGCATCGGGAGACTTTTGACGGAATCGAAGACAGCCTTATCATGCACCAAATTGGCGTTGCCGGACCCCGATCATCCTTTAATGTCGTCTGTGGTGCTTCGGACTTTGCCATTGGCTGTGCACTGCTGCAAGCAGACGCCGAGGGGCGAGATCGGGTGACCGCGCTTAAATCTCGCCAGCTTAAGGCTGCAGAGAAGAACTAACCAGTCCACGACAAAAAATTACCTGCGAAGAAGGATTCACTTGTCAAGTTCATAGTGCACCTGCTCGGCTCAAAGCCGTTTGCGATATACACAGATCATGCGTCACTATGCACTGCGACTCCCTATCGCAGAGGATGACCAGTTGGCTCTTCTTCTTCGCAAAATATAATTTGAGGCGAAGTATAAGCCAGGAAAGCAGAATGCTTTGTCACGCAGTCCGGATTATAGCGACGCTGTTTGTGGATCGTCTCTCCAACGACATGGATTTCCGGAGTCATTTGTCTTTGACAGAGATCCACGCTTCACTGGGAAGTTTTCGTCTACAATCTTCAGAGTGCTGGGCACCAAGTTGACCTTTTCAACGGCGGACCATCCGCAGACCGATGGCAAAATTGAGTGCGTGAAGCGCGTCGTTGAAGACGCCGTTCGTATCGTCTGCACTGAGACGCCGAGGCGCTGGACCACCATCGCTCTGAACAATGCAGTGCATGTGTCTAACGGCTACGCCGTTCTACGTGAACGGGCTTGTTAATCATCACGTCCTGCTGAAGCCACCATTCCATGGATCAGGGCTTGGGGGGAGGGAGAAATGGCCAAGCAGTTAGCTGATGTCAGCCCCCTACCTTTTCGTAAAGAAGTCGATGACATCCTGTGTGCCAGGGTCTAAAGCCAAACGTGGATACGAGCGCATGAGAGCCTCCGTGTGGGCATCCTCCGATTGCTGCTTCTGTGCCTCGTCGAGGCGATTGATAGTAATACCACTTACCCCGGAAGTCGATAAGTCGGAGAACGTACACGTTGTCCACAAATATTCAGTTGAACACACGTTGCGCGGTTGAAGCACCGCATCCTCCTCGTCTTCTCATGCTGGGAAGAAGTATCCGACTCGTAGTTGATTCCTCCAATTCCTCGACGAAAAAATCTGTCACCCGGGGCAGGAACGTTGTGTGACGCCCGGTTGCCAAGGCTTTACGTGAAGCCGCGGACGTACTTTCCGGAGTTGCACCGCGGGTGCCATCAGAATCAGCGAGGCTGGGTGTTTTTCGTGTCATAGACACAAGGCTCATTCAGCATAGAATTTGTAAACGGTCCTAGGGACGTGGCGGTTTCTCAGACACGCGAGCCTCGTTCGAGGCGACAGTTAAAGGTGAATTGTGGATATTCACAATTTTGATGGGGGAGAGTGTAACGGGGTTACACGTATTCTGCTATACAATGGTTGGTTAGACAAGAGGGTGTGACTGTACAAAGGTGTGGATTAAACAAATCGGAGTAATCACACAATGGTGCGGCTAGACCGTAACAAAAACCTCAACATGAAGCCATTGCCAGTAGGTATGCATTTTAATTAGGTTATACTATTTGATTAGAAAGATCTATGTTTTGGAGATTGGCGGTTATGCCGCAAAAAAACAAAAGAAGTACAGTTTGGATTTTGCACGGAAAATTGTATTTGCCTTGAGTTAGGGTTTCGGGTACTCATGGAGGTAGCGAATTGCGATCCGCTACACTCATAATGGTTATAGTATAGAAGGTAAGGTCGGTGACCTTAGCCCACCTTTCTCTAAGCAAAGACAGTTCAAAGGTGGCTATCCTGAGGTGTATTTCTGATTCTCTGATCTTGAGGTGCTCTTCATCAATCATTACTACAAGCTAAGTATTATCTGGGTCAGATTTAAAATACAACAAGCCGCTGTGTCATGCATACCGGTGTAGATGTGAAATCGCGCGTGCCGCGGGGCTGCCGTAGCAATAGACATACTGCGTCTTGAGCTCTACGTATTTGTGGCCCAACATGTAAAAGATGGTAGACAAACATTTGCACACGTGTGAATTATGTCAAAGGCTTGGGCTATCGCCGTAGACGGTGGTACATTTGCCTGCCTGACCAATCTGGCAGATGTTTTGCATTCCATGACCGCAGTTCTTCAAACGCACCCTACAATACCAGCATTGTGCTCTTAGTGGGCGGTCTGAGCGAGATGGCTCACCTCGCGGTTGTCAGCGATAATGTGACCGGTGAGGATACACTTATAAGTTATTCATCGATAAAGTGTTTTACCAACATGGCTTATCGGTAACCATTATATCGAATATAGATCCGCGCTTTACCGCAAAGTTTTGGCACCCATTGTTCAAGGTTTTCGACTCCAGGTTAGATATGTAAGCCGCTGGTCATCCGCAAACTGATAGTCGAACGGAACGCGCTAATTGCGCGTTTGTCCTTCGAAGTACATGCGCGAGGGAACCGCGGTGCCGGTGCGAGCTCCCAACACCCATTGAGGATGTGTCGAACACAGTACATTTTTGTTGAAGCTCTACTCCATTATACGTTAATGATTAAATTTCCGGTATGATAATAACACGGTTACGAATTGGCCTCCATTTTGGTGGAAGAGAGACTGTCGATAAAAATCTTTTTTCTGATACTAGCCTTAATACACTTCGTAGCAATTCATTGATATTTGTCATTGTAGTTGATCACCATGCGCAGGGTGTGCGGCGCTATTATTGAAAGTCAGGATGTGCAAAAGCAACACCTTGATGCCATAGGCAGGCATACAATTAATTAATTTTTTTGTGGGGCATAAGATGCAATTGATCTATCAACAGCTCTACAAGACCAAGTAGCAACCTCAATACATCGGGCCCCTCACGGTCGTAGCGAGAAATAAGCTTGAATTATGCACGTACAGTTTCAAAATGACTGCGGACACATCCGGTATTCTATATGGGCTTGCTGAAGCCGAATCACGTTTTGTTTTTACGTCTAGTCGGACGTAAAGAGCACTTTTGCAGCGAGGCTGCCGTTGCTCTTTGCTTAGAGGAAGCTAACCTAAGGTCACCGACCTAACGTTCTTTACAAGAACCATTACAAGTGAAGAGGATCGCAATCCGCTGCCTCCAAGAGTACTTAAAATGATATCCAGAGACTCTTCTGATCAAAATAAAAACTGTATATGATTATTTTAGTTGCGGCAGAGCCGCCATTATCTAAATTTTTAGATATCGCTAAGTAAGATAGTAATGCCCAATTCATGCGCAATACTACTGGCAATCCTGCCATGTAGTGGCTTCTTGTTACAGTGTAGCCGCACCACTGTGCGATCACACCAAATTGTGTAATCCACACCTATAATTGGTCACACTATCTTGCGCAGCCCACCCTTTCATACATGGGTACGTGTAACCCTGTTACAACTTTTGTAGACGGAGTAACGTCTCAACCATTTTTATAGCTGCGCTACCCTCTGCTTCTAAGCAGAAACGCGTTTCTGAAGTGCTGTATTTACCACCCGGACGTCGGTAAAAACACCACCGGTTCTAATAGTCGACATCGTTTTGCCAATGTTCCCTTTCGGCTCCAGTCAGATACGTATGATTGTGTAGAGCGATATATCTGGGCGTTCCTGTTGGCAAATCTCCAAAACATAATCAAAATCAGTGAGCAGCTCGAGGCGAGTAAGAATTCTTTCTGGACCTTGGATTGCCTGTCGCATTATCTTCTCGAATTGGAACTATTTGACAGATACTGATGTGGTAAAATTCAATGCAATCATGGGACTGAGAGTAGACTTTAACTGTAGGTCAATTTTTATGCAAAGTTGAATGTTAATTTTTGTCCATTTTGATATTGAAGTTTTGCAACGAGCAGCACACGAGACAATCCCACTATATTTCCTGGTCTGTTTGGCATTTTTAAACCGATACAGCCATCATAAAAGGAATTTCACCAATATTCTTGTAAGCGTTAATCTATGTTCGTGATCGGACTGTCCGCAGCACAAAACATCACACCATGTGTACCACACAAGGAGGTTGTACTATCTTAAGTCTTAGTAGTAATACTATCATCGACATTGCTAATACGATGGGGAGAATAGTGTACTGGAAAATAATATATGCTCACTTTCGAATCTCCGTTTACAATGGTTTGTGCGGGTTTCCGCTAAAATACTGCTACATGGACTTCATTTGTTCCTGTGTTTTGTGCATGTAGTCAGGTGTTGGTGGAAAGGGTGGCAAAGGAGGCAAGGGCGGCAAGGGCGTCACTTCCAAGCGGGCGCCACAGTCTCGATCACAGCGTGCAGGTCTTCAGGTACTAATTATTGCTTTATACAGGTGCGACTTGTGGCAGCGAATTTTGCTTACAATTTGATGCTAGTTCCCCGTCGGTCGCATCCACCGCTTTCTTAAAAAACGTGTGGCCAATAATCAGCGCGTGGGTGCAACAGCTGCCGTATATGCCGCCGCAATCATGGAATATCTGACGGCTGAAGTGTTGGAGCTGGCGGGCAATGCATCTAAGGACCTAAAGGTGAAACGTATCACGCCACGCCACCTTCAGCTTGCCATTCGCGGAGACGAAGAGCTAGATACGCTGATTAAGGCCACAATCGCTGGTGGCGGCGTCATCCCACATATTCACAAGAATCTCATCAACAAACAGAATAAGAAGCGGATGCCGCTTTAAATCACAGAAAAGTCCGTGGCGCCATTGCTGTGTTTAAATTGCACGTCTCTTAGCGCCTATATTATCAAATATGAACAGCTTTCTTATGTGGGTTGCCACGCAATTTTGACAATGTCAGCCCTGCAACTTTACTGCAACATTAATATCTGAAGATCGCCACCCCCCTCATATAATCCCTTATAGTGCTGAAGGTGCTCAATTCCTTACAAAGTCCAAAACAAATCAGTTGAAGCTAGGGCTGAGTGGCGTCATGGCGAGCAGCGCGGACGTGACGACACCACCCGCAGATGTGCTATCTGTGAATGATTTTCAGAGCTATCTCTTAGCTACGTGCATACCGCTTTTCTGTGAGGGCTCGGCGCTTAATGCAGACAATTTCAATGCTGACCTCGCAGATGCGGGGTCAACCAATATTCTTCAACAATTTGTAACAGACTCAACCACGCGCGTGTTGCAGGTGCATTGCTCACCCACTCAATCCGACGAGGATGTCCAAATAGTAGACATGCCATTTCGCGTGCGCGTGAATTTGGGCATTGAATATGCTCCTAGGAAGAAATGCAGCCACGAAGTTGTGTGCTTCATCAAGCGCTTTAGTGCGCCTTTGGTTAAAGATCAGACGCTCAGCCACCAGCTGCAAGTCATGACTCTTGGACTCGGCAAGATTGATCGGCCGGATTCAGCGACTAGTAGCGGGGACAACTCAGAGGAGGAGGATGATAGGGGCAACTTGCTCTCGGTTGTATATAATTATGTGCATCAATCCTTCACCCCGCTCGTAAATGAATATTCAAAAGTACACACGCCCCAAAGCGATTTACCACATGTTAGCGAGGGCACACGAGGATTGCCCGCTATTCGACGCAAAATGAAGGAGCTAGAGCTCGCGCTATTACAGTACCAGCAAAACATTGAAATTCCCGAGGTGAATCTTGTATATCACCCCGTGATCCATCGGGCGGCGGATTTGATGCGTCAGAAGGGAATTTCTATCGATATTGAAGCGCTGGGCCTCGAAGAGAAGGTGGATGACGTGACGTTTGTTAATTCCATTCAAGGAGGTGTAGGAAAGTGGATCAAAGAGATTCAGAAAGTCACACGGCTTGTAAACGAGCCACTACCAGGAACAACCACGCAAGAGATTAACTTTTGGTGCGATTTGAATCGCGCATTACTGACGATTCAAGAGAAGCTTAACTCGCCCGAGGTGGAGATCACATTGGCAGTGTTGCAACGGGCCAAAAGATACTTGGCCACAGTCTCATTTACCACAGACCATGGGCTGGGACCAACACTGCAGCATGTAGCGAGTGTCATGACTCTAATGAAGGATTTTCCGATGAATTCAATCCTGTCTGCTACGGACCTTACCCAGCTTAATCAGGGCGTCACGCTTGTCTTTGCTCACCTGAAAAAGATTCGTATAGCCGACTCGTACAAACTGTCGCGGTTGTTGCATCTTGTGGAAGTAATGTCAAGTGATTTTACGCAGCAACTTGTTAGCTTGTTGCGTGCTTATAGCCTAATTGAGATGCCTTTTCACCAGTTTGAGCAGCTTGTGCTGTCTTGCAAGGAGCTATTTACAAATTGGCATCGCCAGGTGGCATCGCTCTATGACCTCACGAAAGAGATTTTTAAACGTCGAGGGGGATCGATCAATACGGAAAAGTTGCCACTTCTCGCAGATTTGCAAATGGAACATGCTACAATTGAAGAGCGACTGCTAGAGCTGTACGAATTTCGTGAGCAGCATGAAAAGCTGAGTGATGTGATCCACAGAGTATTAAGTGGCTCGAATACCATTGGACTGGGCGATGCACGTATTGGGGACGGCAAAAATGATGCACTAATTGAAATCAACTCAGCTTACGCCCAATTAAGCTCGCTAGATCCTCTTGATATTTCCAGCGACGGAGTGACCTCTTGGAAAAACTTGCGAAAGGCCTATGATCTTTGTATTGATCGCGTGGAAGGACGCATTATCAACAGCCTGACAAGTCGGCTTAGTACTACATCAAACGCTGATGAAATGTTTCGTGTCTTTTCCAAGTATAATGCCCTATTCTTTCGTCCTCGCATTCGCAGTGCAGTGCAACAATTTCAGATGCAACTAATCGAAAACGTAAAAGAGGACGTGAGTAACCTACAAGCCAAATTTCGTGCCCACTATGCCTACTCGGAAGCGTCTTGCACAAGCAAACTGCGTGATATTCCGCCTATTGCGGGTGCTGTGATGTGGGCAAAGCAAATTGAACGAAAGCTGAAAATGCTTCTTGCTCGTGTCGAAAGTGTTCTTGGCGTTGGCTGGGAGCAACACGTGGAAGGCAAAGCGCTAAAAGCGGCAGCTGAAGCATTTATTGTGAAGCTCAATCCACAGCTTATCTTTGATCAGTGGGTAAACGATCTAGCATCTATGCCAATATTTGACATTAAAAATATCATCTTAAATATCGTGACGGAAGACACGCCGCAAGGAGCAAGAAAAAAACTTGTGGTGGCATTTAACCAGCAAATTGTCACGCTATTTAAGGAAGTACGAAATCTCGAGTGGTTAGGCTACCGAGTTCCTTTCACGCTTAAGATGATCGCCGAAGATGCAAAGTCCAAGTATCCGTTTGCGATGTCGTTGGACGCCAGTTTGAAGACGTACATGAGCTCGTGTCAACGCATCCAGCCGATTTTCGAGGCATTGACGGCCACGTACGTTCGTGACGTTCGAGCTACCATTGGTAAGACGTTTACAAAAGGCAATGAGATGCGATGGCATGCAGATGGATTGGGGGAGTACGTCACCGAATTGGCTGAACAGGTGGAGCGCCTCCATGACAAGGTGGATGAGCTATTGCAAAAAACAAGTGATATTGATAGTCTTATGGAAAGCGTCCGTACAAGTTCCAACTTCCACACTGTTGAAGTTAACGCCGCGTTGGTTAAAGTCCAAGCGCATGTCGACGACTTGAGCCTGGCTGGATATGCGAACTTACAAGTGTTTGTAAGGAACTTAAACAATATGATCAGTGAGTTGCTTGGTAAGAAGCTTGAGATGCTACTGCAACGTTGGGTGTATTGCTTCGGGCCTCAGTCTGACGAGAAGATGTTTCAAGCTGCTCTCACCGAAGCTGGACTTTCTGTGACAACCCATCAAATATTACTGAAGAATCAAGTGCTGTATTTAGAGCCTAGTGTCAGTGATGCGCGTCGCGATTGGCTCACTCAGCTTCAAAATCTACTAAACTCTGTCTGTGACCTGCCCAAAATTCAGACATCCTCCTATGAAAACGTTTATGGAAAGTCCACGGTGTTGGCTGCAACGTCCTCTTCCCGGAAGACCGCCAGCTCAAGACGACGTGATGTTGTTTTCAAAGAAGCTCTGAACAAAGTACCCTCAGATTTGCTCTTAAAAGCGTATAGTGTGCTGGATGTGACATTAAATGATGTGGAAAGATATGCTTCATTGTGGCTTCAGTATCAAGCTCTCTGGGACATGGATGCACAAATTGCCTTGACCAGTGTCGGCGAGGACCTTCTGCAATGGCAACAAATATTGCTTGAAATAAAGAACGAACGGAATGCGTTCGATGCGGTCTCTAACACGAAGCGCTTTGGACCGGTGCAAATCAATTACCAGCATGTGCAAGCACAAGTGAACGTCAAATATGATGCTTGGCATAATGAATTTCTTGCGTTCTTTGGTGATCTGCTTCGCGACCAGATCAACTCATTCTATTCAACGATATCGTCCAAGCGAACGCTTCTAGAACAACATGCTCTTGAAGCTGCCACAGCACAAGTTGTTGCAGCGATTACTTTAATTCAAGAAATGCGTCAGATGCGTTCGCAATGGGAGAAAGCAGTGGAATCTTTCGAGCAGGGAGAGCGCTTGCTGAAAAAGCAACGGTATAGATTCCTGGCTGATTGGCCATCACTGGCAAACGTAGAAGGAGAATGGGAGGCCTTTATACAGCTGCTAGAACGCAAGACTGCTGCAATGGAAAGCCAGCTGCCGCAATTACAAGCTAAGATAATGGAAGAGAAGAGTACGCTGGACAGTAAAATTAGCAAGACCGTGATAGAATGGGATAACTCCAAACCTTTGCAAGGTAATCAATCACCAAAGGCGGCAACTGAAGCGCTGATCGTGTATGAAACTCGCTTCAAGCTGTTGCGCGCAGAGCAAGAAAAAATGAATGCAGCACTCAATGCTCTAAATATCTCGTACGTGTCAGGAATGGGTGGTCCCACATTTGGTGATGAGCTCGGTTCGTACAATGAATTCTACAGAGCTATGGAAGAGCTGACTAGTTTAAATGAGGTATGGAAATGCATTTCCAAGGTTTGGGTTCATGTTGATGAGCTGCAAGATACGCTATGGTCTGCGGTGCATCCTCGCAAAGTGCGGAAACAGCTTGATGAGTTCATTGATGAAATGCGCCGCTTTCCTGCCCGAGTCCAGCAGTATGAACCTTTTGAACATTACACATCGCTCATTCAGTCGCGCAAGGCTATTAATTCACTTCTTTCGGAGCTGAAATCAGACGCTGTTCGCGACCGGCACTGGAAGCAGATCTTAAGGCTACTAAATATCTTGTCGCCTTTCACCGAACTGACACTTCGAGATTTTTGGGAATCTAAGCTTTCACACAACGACAATGAACTTAAATCGATTATCCGTACGGCTCAAGGAGAGATGGCTCTCGATGAGTTTTTACGACAAGTGTCGGACTACTGGACGAATTACCAATTGGATCTGGTCAACTACCAAAATCGGTGTCGAGTGATTCGTGGTTGGGACGAAATGTTTGCAAAACTGGATGAGCATCTTAATAGTCTGGGCAGTATGAAACAGTCGCCCTATTACCGCGTTTTCGCTGAGCTTGCTTCCAGCTGGGAAGACAAACTTACTCGAATTCGTAGTATTTTGGACTTCTGGATCGATGTGCAACGACGCTGGGTATACTTGGAAGGTATCTTTTTTGGGTCGGCGGATATCAAGCAGCAATTGCCGAAAGAATTCGCACGTTTTCAAAGTGTCGACAATGAGTTCACCTCGACTATGAAGCGCGTTGCCCACAAACCAATGATTGTGGATGTTGCCAACATTCCGAACTTGTATCATTCGCTTGAGCGTCAACAAGACATGATGGGTAATGTTCAGCGTGCCCTGGGCGAATACTTGGAGCGCCAGCGCGCTGCTTTTCCTCGCTTTTACTTTGTGGGTGACGAAGACTTGTTGGAAATGATTGGTAATAGCAAGGAACCGATGCAGATCCAGCGCCATCTGTCTAAAATGTTTGCTGGCATTTCGTCGTTTGAGATGGAGCATACTACAGGTGTCATTACTGGAATGGCTTCACGTGAAGGCGAAGTTGTGTTGTTTAAAGAACCTGTGAAGACAGCTGAAGATACCCGCATCAATATATGGTTGAGCAAGATAGAAGATCAAATGCGAAAGACCCTATCACTACTTTTAGAGGAAGCCGTATGCTCTTGTCCAACAGATGGTAATGGCGATACATATTTAAAGTGGGTTTCAGAGTTTCCGGCTCAAGTCATTATTCTTGCTACTCAAGTTAAATGGTCAAATGAAGTTGAAACCGTCTTCAAAGCTGGTGACAAAAATTTGTTGGTAGTTGTGGAGCAGCTGGATAAGCTGTTGATAATTTTGAGCGAGCGCGTTCTCACGGATGTAAAGAATGATGTGCGAAAAAAGTACGAACAGTTGATTACTGAGCTAGTGCACCAAAAAAGCATCACAAAACGGTTAAGCCAGGCTAAGGTAGACAGTGCCGAAGATTTTCGCTGGCTTTATCACATGCGCCACTACTTCCAAGCGAAGGAGCCGAATCCGCTAAAGAAACTGACAATTCGAATTTCTAATGCCAGCTTTCTGTATGGATTTGAATACTTTGGTGTTGGTGAAAGGCTTGTGCAAACTCCACTTACCGAGCGTTGCTATCTCACATTGACACAGGCGCTAGACTTTGGTATGGGTGGAAATCCATTCGGTCCTGCAGGCACAGGTAAAACGGAGTCAGTGAAGGCATTAGGTTCCCTTCTGGGTCGCTTTGTGCTGGTCTTCAACTGTGACGAGCACTTCGATTTTCAGGCCATGGGACGAATTTTTGTCGGGTTATGCCAGGTGGGCGCATGGGGATGTTTTGATGAATTCAATCGTCTCGAGGAACGCGTGCTCTCAGCCGTGTCGCAACAAATATTGGCGATTCAGAGCGGAGTGTCGTCGTTAAAGGTTGGCAAGGTCGCTGCAAACGCGCACCCTCTCACGAATGGCAGCGGTTCCACTACTACTATCGAACTACTGGGCAAGAGCGTGAAATTAAATCCTGATGTAGGTATATTTGTAACGATGAACCCAGGCTACGCTGGTCGGTCGAATTTACCCGACAACTTAAAGCAGCTATTTCGGAGCATTGCAATGGTTGCCCCAGATCGCGAACTGATCGCGCAGGTGATGCTTTTTTCTCAGGGAATTACTACAGCCGAGCATATCTCTGCCAGGGTTGTACTTTTATTCAATTTGTGTGAGGACCAATTGTCAAAACAGCCTCACTATGATTTCGGATTACGCGCTCTTAAAAGTGTTCTCGTGAGTGCCGGTCAGCTTAAGCGAAAGATAACTCAGTCACACGGTGTCACGACTTTAACAAGTATCGAGGAGCTCGAGACGAAGGCGCTTATTGGCTCAATTACTGACACGATCTTGCCAAAGCTTGTCTCAAACGACGTTCCTGTATTTGAAACGCTTTTAAAAGGAGTATTCCCTGGTACCGAAGCGCAATGTATCGAGGAGGATGGTCTCCGTGATAAGATAATCGAGCTGGCAATAAATGGAAAGTATGTAGCAAATGATCAATGGGTCGAGAAGGCATTACAGCTTTACCAGGTTATGCAGCTTCGTCACGGTGTAATGCTTGTTGGTGCATCTGGTACAGGAAAATCGAGTGCTTGGCGTGTGCTGATGAGTGCTATGGAACATGTGGATGGCATGAAGGGAGAAGCACATGTCATTGACCCAAAAGCTCTTTCGAAGGAGCATTTGTACGGTGTGCTTGACAATACGACACTTGAATGGACAGACGGTGTGTTTACGCATTTGCTTCGACAAATTCTCAACAGCGTACGTGGTGAAAGTGATAGGCGACACTGGATCATTTTTGATGGTGATGTCGATCCAGAATGGGCTGAAAATTTGAACTCTGTGCTTGATGACAATCGCCTGCTGACGCTTCCATCTGGCGAGCGATTGGAAATTCCTCCAAACGTATGGATAATGATGGAAACAGAGACTTTGCGCTTCGCCACTTTAGCAACTGTCAGTCGCTGTGGAATGGTCTGGTTTTCGCATGACACAGTGAGAACGTGCCACATTGTTGAGCATTATTTATTAAAAATACGGGATGATGTGTCTGTCTCTTCTTCCTTTTCGCTCCACCCGAGTGAAAGTGAGCTCGCGAAAGAGGTCGCATACAAATATGTTGCTCAATTGCGAGACTTGGTTAATCAAGATGAAGGTATGCCTTCACTGATTGAGATTTGTTTGGAGCAGGCAATGGGTCAAGTACATATCATGGAGGTCACGACGTTGCGGCTGTTGATGTCGCTATTTACATTACTTGGTCGAGGATTGTCTCGCATACACGAGTACAATGAAGGCCATTCGGATTTTCCATTGACCGATGACCAGATGTATCGCTTTGTGTCCAAGTGGCTTGTGTTTTCAATCATTTGGGGCTTCGGCGGCTCGATGGATGCATCAAATCGTGTTCTGCTGTGTGATTTTGTCGTGCAAACGTTTGGAAATCGATTAGTATTTCCTGCGCTTTCGTCGTCTAATCCGGACAACAGTCTGCTTGATTACGAAGTTAATATTGATGACGGTGAATGGCGCCAGTGGCTGCGATTAATTCCGCAGCTGGATCTTGAAAGTCACCAGATACTGTCTACAGATGTCGTGGTGACCACTGTGGATACATTACGTCACGTTGAAGTGCTTCGAGGATGGCTTTCGCAGCATCGTCCACTTGTTCTTTGTGGCCCGCCGGGTAGTGGTAAAACGATGACGCTAACATCAACGATCAGTTCGCTTCCGGAATTTGAATTCGCAAGTCTCAATTTCTCGTCAGGCACCTCTCCAAATTTAATTTTAAAGACATTTTCTCAGTATTGCGAGTACAAGCGAACACCAAATGGTATGATGTTAGCACCAAATGCTCCAGGAAAATGGCTTGTTGTTTTCTGCGATGAAATTAATCTTCCAGAAGCTGACCGATATGGCACGCAGCGTGTGATTACATTTTTAAGACAGCTAATCGAGCAAGGCGGCTTCTGGCTTGGCGGTAAAAACGCTTGGGTGAAATTAGAACGCATACAATTCGTTGGCGCTTGCAATCCACCCACGGATCCAGGACGTGTTCCCATTTCTCTTCGTCTACTACGTCATGCGCCAGTGCTTCTGGTTGATTTCCCATCTTACCCCTCATTAAAACAAATTTATGGAACATTTAATCGTGCTTTACTCAAGCTTACTCCATCTTTACGGTCATATGTGCAACCGCTTACCGATGCCATGGTTGACGTATACGATAGCAACCAAAAGCACTTCACGGCTGAGATGCAACCTCATTATATATACAGTCCTCGGGAGCTTTCACGATGGATGCGTGCGTTGTACGAAGCAATCGAACCCTTAGATTACGAGATTGATGTGCAAACCCTTGTCAAGCTAGTGTTTCACGAAGCTCTGCGGCTTTTCATGGATCGCTTAGTGACTTCAGATGAACAAAAGTGGTGTTTTCGCATGGTCAAAGAGACGTTGAGAAATCATTTTCCACAAAGTGCTACTGCTTTGGAAGTAGTTGAATATGGAGGCCAACAGCCAATTTTGTTCAGTACGTGGCTTTCTAAAAATTACACTGAAGCCACGACAACTGACTTGCGAAAGCATATCGAAGCTCGCTTGCGCGTTTTCTACGAAGAAGAGCTTAACGTTCAGCTTGTGGTTTTTGATTCAGTAATTGACCATGTGCTTCGAATAGATCGCGTGCTTCGTCAACCACTCGGCCACCTGCTACTTGTAGGAGAAAGTGGCGCAGGAAAGACAGTACTATCTCGCTTTGTTAGCTGGATGAACGGAATGTCCGTATTTCAAATCAAATTGACTTCGAATTATACTCTAGATAATTTTGACGATGATCTTCGTATTGTTTTGAAGCGTTGTGGCTGTGAAGCTGAAAAGATTTGTTTCATCTTTGATGAATCAAATGTGCTGGATTCTGCTTTCTTAGAACGTATGAATGCCTTGCTTGCATCTGGTGAAGTACCTGGCCTGTTCGAAGATGACGAGTACACATCACTCATGCATGCTTGTCGTGAGGCTGTGCAGCGTGATGGCGTCATTGTGGAGAATACTGAGGATGAACTTTTCCGTTACTTTACGAAGCAGGTGCAGCGAAATTTGCATGTGGTCTTCACCATGAACCCAGCTTCAGGGGGTTTCCAGAACCGCACTAATACTTCTCCCGCTCTTTTCAATCGATGTGTTGTCGATTGGTTTGGTACGTGGAATGATCACGCACTCGCGCAAGTGGCATACGAATTTACAAATTCGCTAGATCTTGCTGGATCTTCTGACTTTTTATTACCGGATGATGCTGCTGCGATGTTGGCCAAATTGATCCCATATATCGCGACAGGGACATTTCATGATGTTCTGGTTGGAAGTATAGTTCAATTTCACCATGCTGTCTTGCTTCACATGCAACGCTTGCAGAAACGCCATTTGAAGTTCAATCACATCTCCCCAAGGGACTACCTTGAGTTTATTCGCCACTTCGTGTCATTGTATTCGGAGAAGCGTGCTCAACTCGAGGATCAGCAACTTCATTTAAACATCGGCGTTCAAAAGCTTCAAGCTACTCACGAGCAGGTGGCAGAACTGCAAGGCCAGCTCAGCCTAAAAGAAAAAGAACTAAAGAAAAAAGACGTGGAAGCAAACGAGAAGCTGCAGCAAATGGTGCAGGAGCAAAACGAGGCACAAGAGAAGAAAAAGGATACCGAGGCACTTGCTGCTGATCTTGCAAGTAAAGATGAAGAGATCCGTTCAAGAAAAGTTGTTGTTGAAGCAGACCTTGCACAGGCTGAGCCTGCACTTCTAGATGCACAGGCATCGGTGAACTCAATAAGAAAAGCACAGCTCGATGAGATTCGAGCTCTCGCTCGTCCACCAGCTGCTGTTCGAATGACAATGGAAGCTGTCGCTGTAATGCTGGGTGAGTCGAGCTTGGAGTGGGCAGACTTGCGTCGATTTATCCGAAAAGATGATTTTATCTCGCAAGTGGTGAACTTTGACTCGGAAAAGCTTACAGCTCGGCAGCGACACTTGATCCAGACGAATTACGTTGACAAGGCTGATGAGTTTGATTACGAAAAAGTAAACCGTGCGTCAAAAGCATGCGGGCCTTTGTACAAGTGGATTGTCTCGCAACTTAGCTATACCAATATTTTGCACAAGATTCAGCCGCTGCGAGCAGAAGTTCAGACACTTATTGACACTTCGTCGGATTTGCGTGAAAGATACGAGCAGGCCAAAAAAACCATTGATGCTCTTGAGATACGCATCGAAAATTTCAAGCACGAGTATGCGTCATTAATCAATGAAGCCCAGATCATAACAAACGACATGGCTTCCGTGTCGAACAAAGTGAAACGATCTGTGGCGCTGTTAAAGAGTCTACTGCAAGAAAGTGAGCGGTGGGAAGCTGGCTCAAATGACTTTGATACGCAAATGAAGACGCTTGTGGGCGACACGTTGCTGTCTTCTGCATTTCTTACCTATATCGGCTTCCTTGATTTTCAACAACGCAGAATTTTGGTTCAGGACTGGCGAGACATTCTAGACATGATGGGCATCAGCACGAAGCCCCACTTGAGCTTTGTTGACTATCTATCGCGACCGAATGAGCAACTTGAATGGCAAATGAGTGACTTGCCTTCGGATGAATTATGTTACGAAAATGCCATTATTCTGCAGCGATTCCACCGTTTCCCGCTGATCATAGACCCTGCTGGCCAAGCAAACAGCTTCATCATGAAGTATTACAGTCTTAAGACAAGTACAAAAATTGCGCAAACATCATTTCTTGACAGCTCCTTTATGAAAGTACTGGCTAGTGCCATCCGCTTCGGCACTGCTCTATTGGTTCACGAAGTGGAGAATATTGATCCCATTTTAAATCCAGTACTAAATCGTGAACTTTACAAGACGGGCGGACGCGTCTTGATTCGTCTTGCCGGCGAGGAGATCGACTACTCGCCAGACTTTCGTCTTTTTTTAATTACACGAGACCCTTCATGTCGATTCTCGCCTGACATATGCAGCCGGGTGACGTTCGTAAATTTTACTGTGACTCCGAGCTCGTTAGAAAGTCAAGGACTGAGCATTCTTCTCAAAAGTGAACAACCCGAAGCAGAGGAAAAGCGCAATAACCTATTGAAGTTACAGGGCGAGTACCAGGCTAAGTTACGCGAGTTAGAGGACTCTTTGTTGCAACAAATTAATAATGTACAGGGTAACATTCTTGATGACGATCGCGTCATCAATGCTTTGGAAAGCATGAAGGCAGAGGCTGCACAAATTTCGCAGCAAGTTGCGGAAACTACAACAACCATGGCAATTGTCGAGAAAGCAACAACTCGATACCGCCCACTTGCAAAGGCTAGTTCCCGATTGTTTTTCGCGCTAGAAAACTTGTCTTCTGTTCACTTTCTGTATCAGTACTCGCTAGACTTCTTTCTCTCCTTGCTGTCAAAAGTGCTGGCGCAATCCACTCAAGGAGATACTTCAACACGGCTTGCTAGCATTTCTACGCGACTTTTTGTCCAGCTTGCTAGGCGCGTAAGTAGAGGTCTTGCCGAAAACGACAAGCTTATGTTTGCATTGCGACTATCTCAGATTTATTTGGAGCTAGAACGCCATAGTGCAGCCGTCGCCGAAGCCAGAACAGCAATAAACGACAACAATGAATTTGACGGGCCTACGGATGAGGATGTGGATGTGCTTCTAGGAAGCTCGTCAGCCTTTTCAAGCACTTATAGTGAAGCACGGCGCAGTGAATTCGAACAGTTGCTCCCAGCATTTTCAGAGACGGAATTCGATCGATTTATGAAGTTAATGAATGTATCTACTTTCCAGAACCTAGAGAAACATGTGCGTGAGCACGCTGTCGAATGGAATACCTTTGTGAAGACTCCATCAGCCGAAGAGGCTCTGCCCGAGTCGTGGGACGTAGACTGTTTAAAAGCTGCAGTGAGTCCACGTCGTGCCGCATTTCGAAATATTATCGTTATTCATTTCGTGCGTCCTGATCGTATCACTTTCGCAATTGAGCGATACATCGAGCTGGTATTTACGGCATCATTTCCGTGGCGTGGTGAAATTGAATTATCCAGAAATGTTGAAGAAGATACTCAAGCAACGCGTGGTGTGCTGCTGTGCTCCACAACTGGTTTCGATCCTAGTGCGCAGATTGATGATCTCGCAGCATCCTTGCAGAAAAAATACAACTCCGTGTCCATGGGTTCATCGGAAGGTTTCGATGCAGCCGAAAAAGGCATCAACACGGCTCTCAAACACGGGACTTGGTTACTGCTGCGCAATGTGCATCTGTGTCCATCATGGCTTGCCAGTGTTGAAAAGAAACTGTACAATGCGCGCGAAAGTGTTCACCCGGACTTTCGTCTCTTTCTGACAAGTGAAATCAATCCAAACCTTCCCGTAAATCTTGTGCGTATGTGCGATATCTTTGTATTCGAGCCACCGAGTGGGATGAAGCTAAGCATGGTGCGCTCACTTGATACTGTGGCAGCTGACCGCATGAACAGTTCGCCAGCTGAACGTGCTCGGCTTTACTTATTACTCGCTTGGTTTCACGCTTTAGTGCACGAGCGACTTCGATTTGTACCAATTGGATGGTCGAAAACGTACGAGTTCAGTCAGTCAGACTTTCGCGGTGCTTGTGATGTCATTGATCGCTGGGTGGACTCGGTTGCTAATGGCCGCGTGCACGTTGCTCCGGATCACATTCCTTGGACTGCGATCCGAACCACGATGAAGGAGTCGATCTATGGCGGCCGTGTGGATAACACATTTGACCACGAACTAATGGATACGCTTCTAGAGCATGTATTCACGCCCGCTAGCTACGAAAATACGTTTGAGCTTGTAGCTCCAAATGAAGGTACAGGACTCGTGATTGCCGAGGGCAAGACAAAAGCGCAGTTTATGGACTGGGTTTACTCTCTACCTACCACAAATCCACCCTCGTGGATGGGACTGCCACGATCGGCGGAAACGATGGTGCTCATCAATCAGGGTGCACGAATGCTACGAAATTTGCAGGTGATGCAAGACTTTTACGGTAGCGATGACGGAAGCGCAGGCGCAGAAGTTGAGAATAAGATGGTCCTGAGCACTGCTGCTAATGATGGCGAGGATGTTCGACCGAAGTGGGTACAGGATCTGGATCGTCGTGTTGGTACTTGGCTGAGTCTGTTTCCGGATGACGGACTTCCTGTGCCGACGAATCGTGATCCAGTACACTTCGGCGATCCTGTTTACCGCTGCATGTTCCGAGAGCTAGAACTTGGAGCCAATTTTCTAGGTGAAGTGGTTAGTTTGCTTCGTACTGTACAGCAGGTTTGCGCATACAAAGTCAAACCGTCGAATGAAACACGTGAGGCTATGCAGACGCTCTATAAGGACCACGTGCTTCAGCGATGGATGCAACTATACCGCGTCTTAAACGAGCTTAGCCTCAGTGAGTGGTTACTAGACTTCTCTCGACGCGTGCATCAATTAAAGGCGCTATCGCAAGTGGCTCCGACGCAGATTTTGCAGCAACCTAGAGGAATCTGGCTCGGTGGGTTTTTCTCACCTGAAGCTTTCGTAACTGCCGCCCGTCAAAGCGCGGCAGCTGATCTTGGCTGCTCTCTTGATGATTTGCAATTGCTCGCTGACGTGGAGGAACTCTCGACCTCTTCAGCTGGTGGTTTCACTGCCCGTGGACTTTTGCTAGAAGGTGCCACGTGGAATTCACAAGGTTTTGCACCGTCAAATGACATTCGCAACAGTTTGTCGGCGCTTCACTTTCGTTGGGCACCAAAATGCGAAAGCAAAAGCGACTTTCGACTGCTTCCAGTGTATTCAAACAGCAAGCGCGAGGTGTTACTTTTCTCAGTGGCGGTCAATGTTGAAGATACTTCATTTTCAAAAATGCAATGGGTACAGCGCTCTGTGGCACTTGTGCTCTGGGATCTGCAGTCTTAAAACACGAGCGGATTAGTGGAAGCACATGATTACCATTGATTTCGGTAAAAATTCTCTTTCCTGCAAATTACTTAAGCTTGTGTTGCATCTTCTGTAAGAATTTGGTATTTGGGGGAAGAGAATATACTGCTAACCTTTCTCAACCAAGAGACTTGATTTTCTCGACAGCTTCCCTTTGTTCATTCTCCAATTTGCCTCCACTCGAATTGGCAGTACGCTAAACGCTAATATCGCCTTCAAGTGCACTATCAGCCATGCCGTTTGGTCTTTTCTTCTTCCTCTTACTTTCGACATTTGGAGCCGCCGCTGAAAACGCCTGTCCTTTAACTGAGGTGATCAAACTTGCTGAGCTTTATGCTAACCCACACTTGCACCCGTGTCAAAGAGTCTCGGCTGGGTTCCTTGAGGCCCCACCGAAAGGCAACCTGACAAACCCGCAGATCAAAGCCATATGTGGCTCCGACGCATGTCGCGCGCTTGTAAAAGACGTGCTTTCCCTAAAGCCCGCCGATTGCTTTCTGTCTCTCGGCGGCGTAAAGTTGAATGCGTACGAGATTGCATCCAGTGTACAAAATGCTTGTGATGCAGAAAATAGTCAAGAAGACAATACGTCTGCTCTAAACTCAAAAACTAGCAATAGTTCAATGGTGAAGGTAAACGATAAAGACAAGAAATCGACCTCAAAACCAACCAGGTTCTTCGAGAAAAATTCCACGCTGAGCGACAAGGACAATATTCAGCTTGATGAGCCTATGGTGATTGACAACAATCTTGACAATCAGCATTGCCCGACGCTTAAGGTTGAAAAAGAGACTGCGAAAGAAGCCGGCAGTTCGAAGCCTCCGATAAACAATACAGCTTTTGAAATGTTTCCACCGCCTGACACGACTTACAAGGCAACTGAACCGCACAAGATTTAAGCTCATCATGTTTACATTCAAGCTGTCAAGCTGATTACCATCTCGATTCTTAAGTTAGCAAAATTTCATATCATAGTCAGTACCCCACTCTCATCCTATTTTTTTACCCAACACGTCGCTGCTGCATCAAGGCAGCAAGAACTGACCGCAGGTCGCCAACAGTTATACCAGTGGCGCACTTTTTACTTTCCTTATTTTCCTTAGACGAAAACGCAACTTGAAGAGCTCGAAGGACGAGTAATATATCCACATGAGCGGGCTTGAGCATCAATAATTCTTTTAGTTCCGTGACATCACAATGTGTCATGCAATATTTCAACAACAAAAAGTAGAGTGAGCTTGATGTTGAAGCTCGTAGCCAAGCGTCGTCTTCTTGCTCGTCCGCACTAACATTCTGTGCATTTAAGGGCCCTTTTAACAGCAGCAAAAATTTCTCCTTACTCTCTTTGTACAGGTGACACTGCAACAACGCTTTGCACGCTTCCATGTAGTGCCCACAGTAGCTTAAGAGCTCCACATAAGCCAATAGCGAGGCTTTTGCTGCTTGTCCGACCGTGCTATCTGTGTTTTGAAGCGCTTTAGTAGTCAAATCTACAAGCGGAGGAAATAGGGTCATCGCTCGCTCTGCGTTGGATCGAACCGTAGGTTGGTGCCCCGACAATGAATAAATTCGAGGACAGAAACGGTCGATGCACCGAATAAGTGGAAGCAGCGACTCGGGTTCATACAGCAAATACAAGCGGCTCATTGACTCCAGATACATGTGCTTTGAAAAGGATGAAGCCGTAACATGGCGAAAGTCCGTCAACGTTCGCTCATTATGGAAGAGCCGATGGCTGGGCATTGCGTTCGTTTTGTGCTTTAAATGTGCACCACCATTTTTTCGTGATTTAAATGCTACACCATCCAAGAGAAATGACTCAAGTTGTGTCAACCATTGTCGTCCTTGCTGCTGCGAGCTGGTGCTACAACCAGCAGCAAATCGTAAGCTGCTCATGGGGCGTAATTTTCGACTAAGACGAAAATTATACGCATCTTCAGGATCGATAACGGAGTCTTTTCGTTGTAAATTTCGTATTTCTGATGATGCTGACAAATCGTCTTCATTAGCAAGCACGATCGTGAGGTCACTCGCTGCTCGAATTGGCCACTTGCGAGATCTGTCAGCAGATGTTGGTTTACTTTCGTGAGTACAGCTGTTTGATTCCAAACGAGCTAGCTTTCTTTTGGCGAGAACAATCCAGTTCGAGAGATGATGGAGTGATTCGAGATTAGCGGGTGTCAGTCGAAGCAAATAACCTTCGTGATTTGGAGCACCTGCCCCATCTAATCGGCCGCAAGAAAGAATTCCACTTGCTGTCTTGTAGATTGCAGTGACGAGCTGCGTTAACTCACTAACAATGTTCTCAGATGTTGCTCTATTGCCAAGCAGTGCCAAGAGGAAGGATGGATTCGATACTGTGTTCCAAACAGCTTCCCACGCTTTTGGCAGGCTTCGAGATGGATCCATAGCCGATCGAGTCACGCGTTCCAGCACTTCAAGTGCGTAACGCACGGCTTCTAAACGCAACTCACCTGTGCTATAATCTTTCATAGCAAGAAAAGCTGCTTCGGGATTTTGTTCATGCGACTCATTCTGATTAGTGAGATGTGAACGATGTAGAGCTGCAGCAATTGCCTTTGCTTGAGGTACACGAATAGTCCAGAATCCACTAGAATTCCATAGCCCTACTGAGCTTGAAGCGCCTGAAGTAGTCCAAAACGTTACGCCACCAAGATCTGTATTCAGCAAGCTAATACTTTCTAGTAAAGTTCCCGAAACAAGGGTGTAAATGTGGATAAATTGAGAGGTCAATAGTAAAAAAATGTGGCGATGTGCTGCAATTTCGACAACTTCATCTTCCTGATCCCCAAAATCGTTTCTAGACTGCGGATATGTCAAAGTAGCTAATTTTCGTGCGGATAGTAAACAGTACGGTCCACTTGTACCTTTGCTCGCTTCGTTAGACAACTTGTCACTGTACTCTGACGTCACAAGGTAAACATCCCGTGTTTCAAGGAGTACAATCATGAGTTCCCCAGTTATCGTATGGAGGCACAGTGCCATTTTTGACATGGCTGGGATCACGGCTTTCTCATTCAATGAAAAGATCATACGCCAACTCAAGCTAACAGTCTGCAGAGACGCGGTCGAGCTTCGAAAAAAAATACCTTGTGTTCGAGAGACTGCAAATAGACCGAGTTTGGAGCTAAATAGCTTGACAATATCGCTACATGAGGGCTGAGGGGTAAATGCACTCCCAACAATGACATCCGTTGCTCGCAAGGCATCTGTTGCACGTTCAAAGCGTAGACGGCGAAGCTTTAATTTCGGCTCGTGTTTGGTAGCAGTAGACCACCACACAAATTCCGTTGCACCACTGAACCCGACTCCAGATGTACTTTCACTCGGTCCAGGCGTTTGAATGCTCAACGGCAAGTCGGTCGTTGTAAAGGCAGCTACCGGCTTGGTCCACTTAAGATTTGGGTTTTCTAAGAAGCATAAACGATTGAGAAAAATCCACTGAAATAGATCCGCTTGCCACTCCCATAAAAACGCCATGCCATCTTCTCTGGCCACGACACACCGTAACGGCGTTGCTGCAGCAAGGCTAGACGCACGAAAACACGAAGATGAATCTTTTTGACCCGTTAGGATCGGCTGTAGACCGCTTCTCCCGCGGATAAATTGGATAGATATCACTTGGCAATCAAATCTGGCACAAAGTACGGGAGGCTTGACAACCACACTACCTTCTTTGCCACCTGTAGCTCGTTTCTGAGGTGCAAAGAGCTCTCGAAGTAGCTCGATTTCGTCTACGGGATGGGAAAGAAATTGTCCTCCAGGAGTCTTCAAATTCCTTGTCTGTGATGTCTCATCCCGTGGACCTCGTCTTGAAGGGGGTATTGCATCGAGCACGTAGACAACACGTGCAACATTATTAGATTGACGAGTCATCGCGGAGTGAATTTGAGTTTCTGCGGCCTTCTGCACCAGTACCAAAGCTACATGACCAGCTGTTGGAACGCAGAGTTCCAGGTCATAAGGGAAGTCTTCACTTGAAATATTGGCTTCTGATTCATCTTTTTTTTCTTGACTACTAGTCAAGAAACGTAGCAGGCGCGCACCTCGAGCTGCAGGCCACGTGAGACCCCCGCGATAAACACAGTAGGAAGGCGTCATGCTGATTATCCAAGAGCGACGTGGATATGTAGAAAAAAGTCATTGGGTAATTTATCATTATGAGCAATATTTGGGTGTATCGAAAAATTATGCGACACAATACCAATATTTCTGTGGTAAAAAATTAAAGATATTTCTAAATAAAAATCATATAAGGTGGTATAAATACCGTGTATAAGATATCTACAGCTGCTCAGCACCAAAAACATCTCTCTTCCATATCATCATGGCCGAGGTCCATCACCTCTAACACGCTCATAGACTCTACATTCTCATCTTTTTGTCCGTACCTCATAGCGTAAAAGATGTATTCTGCAATAAATGCGACAGTGACGGCTCCTAAAAAGAGATAAGGTGGGCTCGGAAGGTCTCGACGTAGGCTGCTCTTGTTCGGAGACCCTCCACGAAAATGGCAACTATGACGATTTCGGGATCAGACGCCTTTGTAGCGACCATAACTTTAACTCCTGGGCATAGTTCGCCAGTTCTTAATTCTTTTGTTAGGTGGACAGGAACTTCGAACACGCCCGATACAATTGATTAAGCGGTGCAAGCGCCCGCAACACACTCTTCCGC